AGGCCAGAACGAATCCGGCGGACTCGGCGTTCGTGATTTGTATGACCTTTTCGCCAGAAAACATGCCTGATATCGATCCTTCCACGCCATTTCGCTGTTTCTTCATGAAGTCTAAAGTCGCGGCGCTCGTGATGGATTCCCAGTACGCGATCTTACCGCTGATGGGCATAACAACAACCAGGCCGGGCTCTGTTGATGAGGCCGATGGGGAGACGAGACAACCCAACGGCAGAGGTTCCGATGTGTGTTTTGAAGGATACGGGAGGGTGAATGTGAATGTCTCGGGAGATTGGGATGGATCCGTATACGGCCAAACGATCGCATGAGTATGGCTGAGGCTGAGGGCGTAGCGGTTCGAGAAGATATCGGCCTGTTGCTGGGCTTCACTTGACTGTTAGATGCGAAGGACGGCAATTCCGCAAACGTTACGTACCTGAAGCATCTGCGCGTAGACGGTCTGGCAATGCAGGCAATTTGCTCACAGTGTAAGCGTTGTTCGTCGTCTGTTGGGGATCTTGTTAGCTAACCAGGGGGGCGTTCGTTGCGACCGTGTATTTGCGTACCAAAACAATACTTCCATCGCCCTTGGTCGGTCTGTCGCCTCCCTTTGGCTTCTTTGCGCGCACGCTGAGTTCTTTTCTCGGGGTGGGCGTGATGGGGTTCTGGTTTTCGATACCGTCCTGGCGTGTGTCGAGTATCGCAACTTTATCGGACTTGACCTCGTACATCTCGGGGCCCGTGGGCGCGGACACATCAGGATTCACGAAGGTCTGCTCGGTAAGAGGCAGACGCTGGCGCTTAGCTTTGGGTTGTTGGGCGAGGCTTTCGTTACTGGCCGGTCGCTGCCTTCTTCTGCTTCGCGTCGCGGTGGCGGGACCGCCCTCGTTCGTGGAGGGAGAAAACATTGTGATGCTGTCGAACGACCGGGCGCGAGGTGGTTGATGGGAGTCGTGGTCGCGGTCGCCGTGATGGTTCTGGTGATCGTGGATGGGCCGGTGTCAATCAGAAAAACATTTCGAGGATGGATGGATTCTGTGGCCTAAGGTATTCTGAATTTGTTAGGGAAAGCGGAGGTCGGAAACGGTGGACGCAAGTGGCAGAGCGGATTTAGCAACTATGTGAGAGTGACGAAGCATCAATCGATTGGGTCTCGCAAAAAAAACACAAGGTTGCTGCATCTGCCAAGCACGGACCAGCAGCGCCAGCAGCTCCTGTCTGACCACTAGCAGTGTGGTGTCAGGCTCCATGACCCCGGTGAGCAGCAGGTCAGGGCAGGTGTGCAGGTGTGCCGGCGTGCCAGCTGAGGCGGCGGAAGGGGCAACGACAGCACGGGTGTACCTACCGACGTAGTGAGGTAAGGTCCCTCCACAAGTAAGGTAAGGTACTTGTCGACCGTAGGTAAGGAAAGTGGAGATACCTGCCTCGTGTCACGCTCAGTACGTACCTGCTTTTTCTCAGGTCCTGTTGGGCAGGCACAGGCAAGCAAGGCAGGTTCGTTGCTTCCAGCACCTCAAAATGGGAAAGGCTTCCCATTGGCCGACTCCGCGATCGATTTGGAGTCCGCTGAATCGACGCATTGGACGGAACAAAATACCTTAGGACCCTGAAAGTGGAGCCTGGGAAACCAACTGAAGTCAACAACGTCACTCGGCCCTCGGGAAGGGTCGGCGGGCACATCGATAGAACGATTCTGTTGTGTAAAGGCAGACAGAAATACCCACTAACAACTGCCTTTCCTTTGACTGAGTCGTTGATATTTGTGACTTGCACTTGTTTGCTTCCAGATCCTCGGTACACACCTTAGTCTGTAAGGCGACGTACTTCCAACTACCTTAACGTCCACATAGAGTTGTTGGACGAACTAACTCGACCCCACCATTCGCTTCTATTCACTCATGTTCTGCAACTCATTGCATTCTTGACCCGGAGCCATCTCCCGAGACACAGTCAACTACGATGATTGGCCGCGAGACCTCATGAGTTTGCATAGCCAATAGCCTTTCATATTCACGAGACTGTCATCTATTATTCTGTCCGGGCCTTACTTGTTCTTCCGACCTCGAATCAAGTCTCATACAAGACATTCGCCGTTTTGAGATCCATTATCGAGTAGACCAAAATTGTTCAGTTTGGGGCGACCCGAGCCCTCGGAGTCCTACACCTTAGCTGGCTTCAAAGTGGAAGTACACGGTTATCACCCATCTTTTTCTGCCCTTGGGTGCGGTTCATGAGCAAGCCCGCCTGGCAGTGCGACTGAACGCCGGGCATAAAGTTGTCTCAGCTGCATTACGGATCTTCAAAACATAGAGCTTGAAGGCGAGTGTATTAGAGAGAGGGAAGGCAGGGTCGACGGCCATTGGCTGCAATCTCATATTGTATGACTCTGGACGAGCAACGGCAACCATGATCTCTCACACGCTGAGGATGCCAAAGGCAAGACGGATGGCTTACTCTATCCGGCGGTACTCAACAGCCATGGCCATCACCGATCCCCTCGTCAAGTACAGGACGCTGGTCTCAACCAATGTCCTATCACCAGATCAAGACCAACACAGACTGGCAATTCACCTACAGAAGCTCTACGGCCGTCTCAAAGACTACGCCCCCGAAGTGGACTATCGCGAGCGCCTAAAACAAGTTGCCGATATACCAGAAGCCCGCGACCCAGATGAAGCCGCCGCGACGCTGGCTATGCCGAGTCACCCCATTTGGGACAACCCGCTCTTCAAACACCTCGCCCGCAAGGCCATGCCAGATCCAAAGGAGACGAATCCCATGGCTTTAGTCCACGTCATGACCAGTCTGGAGGGCGCCATCACAATCAACTCACCTAGAGGCCTCTTCCTATCCGGTGAGGTGGGTGTGGGAAAGTCAATGTTGATCGATCTCCTAGCACAGGGCCTGCCGACTGAGAGGAAACGTCGGTGGCACTTCAACACCTTCATGCTATACACCTTTTCGCAACTGGAAAAGTTCCGCCAGTCACACGCCGAGCTAGATGGGAACGAAAAGGAGTACGCCATGCTGTGGCTGGCCAAGAAGCTCGTAGAAGAGTCTCCCATTCTGTTTCTCGATGAGTTTCAGCTGCCTGATCGCGCAGCAAGCAAGATCCTCAGCCACTTGTTCATCGCTTTTTTCCACCTCGGCGGTGTACTCATCGCTTCATCTAACCGCGTGCCCGAGGAGCTGCAAAAAGCCATTGGTATCGAGTACACTGTCCCTCCTTCTGACGGGTTCCTCAAAAGTCTTTTTCTTGGCGGAGCTCGCTCTCGGGGAACTCGTCATAGTCAGAACGACTTTGCCGCCTTTCTCGAAGTGCTAAAGGCTCGCTGTGACTTCTGGCACATGGATGGAGCCACGGACTGGAGACGCCGGGAGACCGAAGTGAAAGCCGCTGTTAATGCCATATCCATCGAGGGAACGGGACTCGCGGCGGAACCTGCAGATACCCAAGAGGGTAAGTTAACAGTCACTGATTGAAGTATACGGTGCTGACGAGTCTAGAATCACCCAAAGAAACAACCAAGCCAGCAAAGTACTTTTTGACTCCCGAGACCTCGGAATGGTCATCAGAGCTATCATATCTCCTCTCCCAATCCTGGAGCCCGGCAACCCTCACAGTCTATGGCCGCACAATCCCCGTCCCGCGTCAACGAGACGGCGTAGCCTACTGGGACTTTGACGCCCTCGTTGCAACCTTTGGCCCCGCCGACTACGTGACAATGGCATCAACCTACCACACCTTCATCATCGACAACGTACCCACCATGACCACGCTCCACAAGAACGAGGCTAGACGCTTCATCACCCTCCTCGACGCCCTTTACGAAGCGCGCTGCAAGCTCTTCGTCCGCGCCCAGACCGGCCCCGACGACCTCTTCTTCCCCGACATCCGCGCCGCCCAAGCAGAAATGGCTGCCGCCGCAGAGGCGGCAGCGGCAGCGGCGGTATCCGGGGAGGAAGTCGTCTCATCGGACGCAATCTACTCCGAGACCATTGCCGAAGTCTACCAAGACTCCGCGGCTCCCTTCCGCCCCAACATCTCTTACTACGACACCGAGGCTCCGACCTCGAAGTACGATCCGGACCAGGACTCGGATTTTGGCCGCGCCGGCAACGTCAGCAGCAGCAACACCACGAGCCCCAACTTTAGCAACACGGCCGGCTTCATCGGCGAGGACGAGCGCTTCGCGTACCGTCGCGCCGCGAGCCGGCTATGGGAGCTCTGCAGCGCCGCGTGGCACGCCAGGGGCAGCAGCGGCGGTGACCCCTCGGAGTGGTGGACGCCCGTCCCGCGCACCGCGCGGCACTGGGAGGACTCGGCGCCGTCCAAGCCTAAGCGGGATGAACCGTTGCTGCCGCGGAAGCAGAGCGATGCCGTCATGGGCCCGGCGAGGCCTGTTGACGAGCCGTTTGGAACAGATAAGCTCGTCATTGAGAGGTGGACTGCTCTGGAGGAGGCTGAGCGTCGGCGGGAAAAGTCAGCTTCGTCTTCGTCTTCATCCTAGGACAGCGTGCGTCACTAGAGTTTGATTTTCGGCTGCTTTTTTTTACATACGATGAGTGGAGGGCATTTGGAGTACGAGGAGCATGAGGGAGGCAAGGTCCGTTGGATGATCTTGCTCTATCTTTTCTCTCTTTGTGTCCCCTCCTCATCTTCTTGGTTTTGGGAATTATCGCATTTGAGAGTACCATCTCACGGAGCATAGCATAGCATTCTGGCGGTGCTGGGCTTAGCATACGTCGCTCAGACGACGTCGAGACCTTTGAGTCTTCATGATGGATAGATATCTTACATTACCGGTACCACCCGGTACTCACATTAGAAGAAAAGAAAACCCATACTTGACATCACACCCTCGGAACCCATGCATCTATCTTCTATGATCAAACGCCCCCAAACTCCAAGGAACCCAAGAAAGAAGGCGACGAACCACTCTTCACCCCCCCTTTTCGACTTCAGATCCACACCGCCGCTCCTCTCACTCCAAAACCCCTCTTCAAAGATTCGTCACACCAGGCGTCCACCCCTCCCCGATCCTCCTCACCTCCCCCTCAAACTTGCGACTCTTAATCACCCGCCCCCCCCGCCCGCTCACAGGCGAATGCTCATCAGGCTCGTAAAACGGATTCTGCAACAGCCGCACATACGCGCTCTGCACAGCCCGGAACACGACCCGCAACTCCTGCTCCCGCAACCCGACCGCGCCGCGGCCCCCCTTGCCGGCAGCGGCCGTCTCCGCGCCGCCGGCGCCAGCACCCGGCGTCCCGCCAGCGACCCTCCGCCCGCGCATGTCGACGACGACGACGATCTTGACGCCCGTGTTGGTCTCCCACCCGTACGCGGCCAGCCGCTCGTCCACGGCGTGGAGGAGGCCCACCTCGCCGGACAGACCCGTCCCCGTGGACCCTGGCGCCGCGGCGGCCGCGGCACCGCCGCCGGAGGGATTGTTGCTGCCGTGGCGGAGCTCGAAGATGTCCAGGGTCGAGGAGAGGAGGAGGGAGAATTGTAGAGGGGTGCGGATCGGCGCGAAAGTGTTTGTCGAGGGGTTGTGTGAGGGGAAGATTTGGATGTGGAGGGGGTTGTTCTAGAGTTTGGAATTGTTGCGTTAGCCTTGTGTCTTTTTTGATCTGGCGTTGAGGTGCTGAGATCATGCGTTTTCTGATCGTATGGAGGTTGGAAGAGGGTGAACGGGACCACGAGCGTGGACAAAGGTTCGTGGTGGTCTGCGCCAGGAAGGGGGGAAGTGAGGAGGAGGACGTACGTTGCGGCCGATGATGCCTATGCATGCTATGGAAGGGATGGCGGTCGCCATTGTGCGCGGCCTTGACTTGTGTTGCCTTTCGGCCGCCCGAGGTTTCAAGTTTTATCTTTCGATAAGGCACTGCGCCGAGGCGTGGAATGCGATCGTGGTGCTGCTGGTCGGTCAAAAGTTGAGTGTGGGCGGTTTGGTGATGTGGTTTGGAGAACGGAGAGCTGGGGTAAGGTACAGGATGCTGGTTCTAGGAAATAGCTGGTGTGGACGGGAGCTTAATTGCCTTTTTTGGGGCGCCTCCTTGCTGCCCCGCATTGGCATCAGCAACAAGCTCCTAGTTTCCTGGCATGTCAACTTCACAAAAGTAGTGATTTACATGTCAAGGCAATACAGATGAATCTCCAAAGATGCCCGGAATGGATCATGGTGTTCCCCCCTTCGTAGAGAAATAGTATTACACCTCAACTAAACCAAATCATTACTCCAATGTTCATAACGAAGGCGTAGAAGCCCGGCCTCCTTCTCATGAGCTAACACGCCCATCGAGAAAAGTTGATAATACCAAAGGAAAGCGCCGTTGGAATAACCTCCCCCCGAATTTTTGCACCAAGAAGCAGACAGAAGGCTGTCATCGCCAAATAACCCTCATTCATTCAATCTCCTCACCAGACAACCCTTCCGTCTCCTCCAACCCCCTCAACATCTCCTCAATTTCACTCGGGTCCGTAATCGCCCACACGCCGCCGCCCTTGACCGAGTCCTTGCCCCTCATCCCGACCTCCTTGCCAACGAGATTCCGCCCAACCTTGCCCGGCCCGATGCCGATCCACCGCCTCACCTTCTCCTCCTGGTCGAGGTACTTGATGCTGTCCCACCACCGCACCGTCTCCAGACACTGCCGCGCCAGCAGGTCCTTGACGTCCTCCCTGCTCTCAAACGGCCGCGCGCTCACGTTGCTGATGCACGGCAGCCGGCCGGGAAAGGTGATAATGTCCTCCGCCTCGCGGCCCCGCACCCGGCTCTTTTTCGCCAATATCTTCTGCATCACCCCGACCGCGGGCTTCATCAGCGGGCTGTGAAAGGGGCTATCGCTATTCAACCGCACCGCGCGCGGGTCGTGGCCCAGAAACTGCCTCACGTGCGTCGACAGCGTCTTGATCCGCTCGATATTCCCGCTCAGCACAATCTGGTTCTTGCTGTTCACGTTGGCGATGAGCACCTGCTCGATAGGCGGCACGTCCTCGGAGCTCTCCCCTTTCGACCCGGCGCTCGAGTGGCCTACAAAGTCGTGTATCGCAGCAATCAGCGGGCCCAGGTACTCGGGCTCCGTGACGATGGCCACCATGCCGTACTCGCCGCCGTACTCCTCGACGGCGCGCCGCGTCGCCTCCGCCATGGCCTCGGCCCGCTTCCGGACGAGATACAGGCTGTCCTCGAACTCGAGGTAGCCGCCCGCAACGAGGGCGGCGAACTCGCCCAGCGAGTGGCCGAGCGTCACGTCGACGCGCCGCGCGACGTCAAAGTCGAACTCGCGCTCGAGGATGCGCAGGATCAGGATCGAGGTCGCCATGATGGCCGGCTGCGCGTTGGGCGTTTTGGTCAGCAGCTTGCTGGGCCCGTCGGCGATGACGTCGGAGAGCTTGAAGCCCATGTAGTGGTCGATCTCCTCGATGATGGGTTTCGCGGTTCGGGGGAAGGCTTCGAGCCATGGTGTTATCATGCCGACTTTTTGTACTCCTTGGCCTGCGATAGTCACATGTACTTGTCAGCTCCTCGAAATGCTTCCCTCTCATTGCCTTCATATTTCCCCCCTCTAAGCACATGGGACTCTTCATCGCAACGCACGCACCTGGAAAGAAGAGCGCCGTCCGCGGCCTCTTCCCCTGTGATGTAGACACATGCCGCCTACTTGATTCGAACGCTACACTGCCCGTCGCGGCGCGCCTGCGACCGAGGCAGCCGGGCCCATCGGCCCATACGGCGGCGGCGCCTCGGCGGAGAGAGTGGTGAACTCCGGGAGCTGTAGTCATGGCCCGTTGGGAAAACAAGACAAAGGCGCCAGCCAATTGTGAGCTGGGGCAGCTTAGATGATCGCAATCATGGACTAATGATTTAATCACTTTGGTGTGTGTTTGTATCTCTGTAGGTGTTTAAACGGAGTACCGTAGCGTAAGAGAAAGTGACAAAGACTCAACGCCACGAAAGAGCTTCTAGAAACAAGTATAGAAGAGAATTAAAAACTAGAGGTGTCAACGAGGGGGGAGGTCCGCGGATTTTTGCGACCGAGTTGGAAGATAATGTGTCACACGCAAGCACAGCCCACGCGCGGCGGCCGTGGGTAGTCTTGGTCTTGGTCTTGGTCTTGGGGTTTGGGGGAAACGGAGAGCAGATAGTCGAGACAGGAACGTGGTGCGCGGGTGAGATACGAATTACTGAGATGGAGTGAGCCCATGACGCCAGTTGGAATGGCGGTTGGTCCTAGGTAGTGGCCGCCACTAACCGAATGTCCCGAGGCCGAGGATTGAAAGGGAGCTGGAGGAAGAAAAACACTGGAGCAAAGGTACCTACCCCGCGATTGGCAGCCTGGGCAGCTCTTTTACAGGCGCGTTACCAGTTCCGCTGCGCCGGGAGCGGGGCTGCTTTTGCTGGATCTCCCCCAGGGGGTCCAGGGGTCAATTGCCGCCGACTCACCCCGATGCTGTACTCTGATCTCACGCTGAAAATTGAGTCACCGCCTCGGCTTGTAGCCGTCACAACAAACAAGGCCACGATTTGGAGGTACCTGTATCAAAAAAAAAAGAAAAAAAAAGAAAACGGCTTCTTGGGCGGTTCAAAGTCGTCTCTTGGCTTGCTTTGATGGGCACCGCCTGGTAATCTTAGACCGCAGCGAATTGGCATCACTAGTCTGCCACTAGACGGAGTGGAAACCGAGGCCCTCCAAAGCATGTGAATCATACTTTGCTTCAAGCACTATCCAAGAATAAAAATAGCTAAAATAATTCTCATTAGTTTATATTTGCTATCATGTTTCGCGTTTCCGTCTAACACCGCGTCTCTACACCGCCCTTGCTGACCGTCAAATACTTGACGCCCTTGTACGGCTTCACGTTCTCACCGAGACCTTTGCTCTTGCGCGGGTCAATCATGATGCTCTCCACCTTGAGCCCGCTCGGCAGCCACCCCTTGACCGAGAAGCTCACCGACGCCGAGCTCGGCATCAGCATCTTATTCTGCGCCACCTTCTTCGCGTCCTTTTCGTCGTCTCCGCCGTCGGCCGTCTTCTTCGCCTGGGTGGGGCTACTGCTCTGGTACGGCTGCTCGTCGTAGCCGTACGCCTTGCCGAACCCGAACCCGTTAGGGTCGAGCTCGTCCTCGTCCTCGTCCGGCAGCTGGCCCACTACGGTACACCTGAGACCAAAGTAGGACGTGCCAGAGGATATCTCCTTGGTGGGGACGTGCCACTCAAGGACCCTCTCGCTGGGGTTGAAGGTCGCGTCTCCCTTGCTGGGCCGCAGCTCCGACAGATTTCTAACCTCTGCCGGCAACGGCACCGTGACGGTCAGATCCTCCATCAGAGGCGATGAGGGAGTTCCCGGGTGGGGGCCGCCGAAGCCTCGACCTGCTCCTCCACCACCGCCGCCACCTCTTCCGTACTGACTTGACGATGAGGGGCCACCGGCTCCCAGCACCTTGTTGACGTGTAACCGCACTTCAAAGTCGGAGCCCGTAAGGCCCAGCCCGGTCTTCATCTCAATGTTGACAGGGAGCTTGAGATTGTTGGCACTTAAACTACCGCTCTTGCCGTTCGTGAATGGTAGCAAGTCGACCTCGTAGCTGGCCAAGATGAATCGGCCGTCTGGTGGTACAAAGCTGAGTTCGCCAGGTCGTTCCTTCCACCGTGACAGACGGACACAGGGGTGAAATACTGGGAGGTCCATGAAGCCAGCCAGGTTGTGTTTCCCAGAGGGGCTCGTTAATGTCATGACAATGTCGGGCATGCCAGACACCTTACACGTGAAGGCTATCGTTCCGTTGGCGAATGCTGCCAGCGGCCGCCCCGAGGGTGCGAGAGTCACAGTCAGGGTCTCGACGATGTCGGCGTACATCTCGTTGGACGTATGCCTCACGTTAGCCCTGCGCCAGGGTAATGCCGGCGTATTTTGGGCAATCAAGGACGGCGTACTCGGGTTGGCGAAGCCCGTGCCAAAGTTGCTAGGTTTCCTACGTGAACTCCGTCAGACCAATTTTCCTTTCATATGCGTTCGAAGTGTCTCCCTTACCCAGGCAAGGTGATGCTGCCAAGCAGCTTGCCCACCCATCCCTCAACCTCGACCAAATCCCTCAGCGCGTTGGGTTCCGTCGTGTTGATCGTCCCCGCGTCGCACATCTCGTTGAGCAGCTGCGCGACGACATCATAATTGCTCTCAATCTTGTGCGCTAGCAAGGGCGCGCCTAGGAACTCCTCAAAGACGTCGACGATGCGGTGGATGAACTCGAGGACGAGCAGGGGCTCGATCTCGGAGGACGAGGTGGCCAGGAACAGCAGGTTGGCGTGCTTGAGGCTGAAGACGAGTGTCGGCGGGTTCGTGTTGGCGAGGTAGACGAGGTTCGGGCGCGGGGCCGGGTGCTCTAGGTAGAGGGGCAGGAGGTGCTGCGCCGACAGCGGGCGGGAGGTGTACGTGTGCGACAGGATGGCATGGCTGTCGAGGGTAGAGTATGTTAGCTCTGGCGGGTCTGGATGATGGGTATGCTGTAGACTGACTTGTGCTCATCGTAGATGTGCAGCGCCTCAATAACGCCGTTCATCGTTCAGGTCGGCATCGGAGGCTGCGCCGTGGTCGTCGGAGGTGGTGGGGGGTGGGAGGTTGTTTGCTTGTCAGTGTGTCTGGCTGCCGCTGGAGCTCCCACGTCCGGGAACCACACTCAGACCGGCCCCGCGTACCTTGGCGGCGCCGCACATGCTCGATGATGGAATTAAATGTTAGTGCAATAGAACAGCCCAATACAGCCAATCAGCAGCGAGATATACCCTTGTCGCTGCACCAAGCTCCCCAGGCCTCTATGGTCTATCACTGCCATTGTCAGGAGCTTCCCGTCGTTCGTCGCAAAAAGCATTCGGTAGCCAAATCTTGAAGACCGCTCAGAACCAAGCCGCTCACCCCACACGCCTTCGCCGCCATGATCGGAGGAGGAGACAAAATGCCCACCGTGGGCACCCTAGACAAGCCTGAAAACCTCGACCAGCTCCTGCGCGAGGACCGCGGCGACGATTGCACATCGTGCAGGGTCATTGGTAAGCCACCACTATTCTCCCAGGCTTGTGGTGCTCGGCAGCAGTAGGGAAGCCATGCTAATGCGGCATCTTCCGAATAGGAGGCGGCGCATTTCTCGGCCTTGCGGCATACAACTACCTCTCCGGCATGGGCCACGTCGAACGGCAACGCGCCGAGATTCTCAAGTCGGGATCTAGGTTCGGCATGGGAAGCCGCAAGCTGGGCGTCGCTAGTATCTCCATTGGCCTGGCGTACCTTGGCCTGTGGAGGCTGTTCAAATAGACGACGGACGAATGAAAGAGACGAAGAGAGGAATTGGGATAATGAGCAAAAATCGCAACTCAAACAGTCAGGCCAGGCGCGTCCGCGGGAGATGGCCTCAAGGACATGAGAGAGCCGATGCTACCGGCAGGCGAAGCTTGGCGCCACTCTGTTGACGGCCTCGCACGAGCGGATTTCAGGCGCCTACGGTAAAGAATCGTAGCGGCAACCCGTGATAGAAGGCCATGGTCAAGATATCTCAGCCACTTTGGCCCTACAGCTGGCACGAAACTGATTGCTTGACGGCGGACTGACGATCTTTGGGCGGATGCTGTGAGAGATAACTCCAGCCGATACGTGCTGCAAATACTGTTGTAATACTGTACAATACTGTCATGTAATCAAAAGCGACAATTTTAATGAATCAAACAAAGGCACACTATGGTATGCAATTAGACATATAATGTACCGATTACCGGTAAAGTTTATAGCCGTTGTGGTGCTGTCAAAAGAAAAAATGTAAGGTGCAGGCAAGCATCGCCCGCCGATTGAAGGCTCCAAACTGCCCCTCCAAAGCTTCACCAAAAATTCTTTGCAAGCAACAATCTCAACCACATCCACATCCACTAAACAGCAACCACCACAAATCCCACAGTGCAATCGACGCAACAAACCCTATCAAATCATACTCTCAAGCAAGCCGAATCATACGACACCGAAAATCCGACTGTTTCCTCAGCGCCCCAACGGCCTTCCCGCCGTAAAACCATAGATTCACCATGCCCATCACAATCCTCGCCCCGCGTGGCACGCCGTCACATCACAAGCCCTACGCTGCCGCAGGAGCAGGAGCAGCAGACTCGGACTCAGACTCAGATGGCGGCGCCGATATCGAGGGTGACATCTCCATGCGCCCCGCGAAACGCTCCCGCGGCGACAACTACGAAATCGTCACGCCGGGCGAGATCATCACCGACGACCCCCAGTGGATGAGGTTTGTCGGCCCCAACAATATATCCATAGGAAGGCTGTGGAAAGACAGAAACTACAGTAAAGAGAAACCCCTAACTGACATCGCCACGAAACAGAGGCCACGGAACCTACATCACCCAAAACACAACAGACATCGTCTCCTCCGTCGCAGGCACCGTAACCCGCACAAACAAGCTCCTCTCCGTCCGCCCCCTCCGCGCCCGCTACACCCCCGAGATAGGCGACCTCGTCGTCGGCCGCATCGTCGAAGTCCAAGCCAAACGCTGGCGCGTCGACGTCGGCTCCTCCCAGCTCGCCATCCTCCAAATCTCGGCAATCAACCTCCCCGGCGGCATCCTCCGCAAGCGCACCGACACCGACGAGCTCCAGATCCGGTCCTTTTTCGCCGAGGGCGACCTCGTCGTCGCAGAGGTCCAGCAGCTCCACCAGGACGGCGCCGCCTCCCTGCACACGCGTTCCCTCAAATACGGCAAGCTGCGCAACGGCGTCTTCGTCGCCGTCACGGGCACCGGAGGCGGCGGCGGCGTGGTGAGGGCGAAGAGGCAGCAGTGGGTCATGGACGCGGCGCGCGGCGCGGCAAAGGTGCACGTCACGCTCGGCGTCAACGGCTTCATCTGGATCAGCAAGCACGTCGAGAGCGATGCGGGCGCCGAGAGCGTAGGGCTGAACCGCATGGAGGAGAGCGTCAGCACAAATGTCTACTCGAGCCAAAACGACAAGATTGACGACGAGACGATGCGCGAGGTCGCGCGGATACGGAGCGTCATCCTTGCGCTGGTGGAGAACGGGCTGCGCGTCGACGAGGACATGGTCGTCAGGGGGTACAAGGTGGCCGTGGATATGGGCCTGGAGAGCATCGAGGACGATATCTACCTCGGTGGCGAGCGGGGGAAAAGGCTTGCCGAGGCTCTGTTGAGAGAATAGACAGTCACAAAATGCTGTGTGGCACACGAGTCAAAAAGACATGGGCGAGATTGGGCAGAATAAATATCTTGAAGGGAAAAATAGTTCTCTGATAGATACCAAGAAAGGGGCTTCGTATAATCCGTCAAAGAGACCCTGAATCGCCAGACATCAGAAACGCTATGCAGTGTATATCTATAGGCTGTATTGTTCAGCCATGGTATCAAAAAAAATAAATCATGTAACCAAAATCATGGTAGACAACGTCTACTTAAAAGGTCTCGACGAGCTCTGCGCCGGCAAAGTACCCCTTATTCTCAATGACACCGCGATCCTTCACAAAGGCAGTGTACTTGACCACCCACTCAGGTGTGAGGTCGCCCTCCAGACCCTCCTGGTCCTCGGCAGGGTCGGCGAGGACGCCAGCGCCCTGCAGGCCGTGACCGAGGAGCTCGCGGAGGGTGCCTCTGGGCAGGATGTCGGTGCAATCGGTGTGGACAAGCAATTCGACGCCCTCCGTCTTGGCCAGCTTGACCAGCGTCGGGGGAACGCTGCAGCAGTCCTTGATGTTAATCTGGTCGACGGCCGGCCGGACGCTGACCTTTTTGATGAACTTGGCCAGCTTCTCAGTGCCGAACTCGGAGATGCCGAGGGCCTTGACCTCCCCACGCTTATACAGATCCTCAAGAACGGTCCATGTCGCAACCTCCTCGTCAATGTTGCCCTGAGAGGCATTGCGCTTGTCGGCTTCCCATTCGCAGTCGCCCTCAAATGACATGCCCGGGAAGGACGCGATGAGAAGATCGATCGTCGTGACCCCCAGCTCCTTTCGCACGAGGCTCAAGGCATCCTGCACGTACTGGGCCCGGTCTTGCGGAGCGGCATTAGGGAGGAAGAATAGCTTCACGGTAACGTCGTAGTTGTCGGGCTCTTCTTGTAGTCCAGAGTAGGACCAGTCTATCCGCGGGACGAAGAGCGCATCGTCCTCGCGAGCGGTCCACACGTCGATGCGAGGCCGGCGGCCGTTCGAGTTGTGGGAGAAGCCATTGGAGTGGCCGTTCAAACCGTTTCCATTCACGGGTTCGTCATCGTCATCGATGGGAGAAGATTCTTCGTAAGGCGAGTAATCCTGCTGGGCAGCGAGAAAGTTGCTTCGCAGCGAGTTGGTGAGTTCAAGGTTCGACCTGTAGGCTCCCGGTTTGCGGATTATGGAGGGGCCGCCCGAGACAATGTTTCTGCATGCAACGGAGATCGCCAATCAGCATCAGAGCGCACGGAACGATTCTATGGTGGGAATCAATGAAAGGCGTGACAAACCCAGTGGAGAGAATGAGTTTCGTCATGGCGATATTGACAATGGTAGTAGATAAGGTAAATATCGCGATATTATAGCTCAAGATCAGATGCAATGAACTGGTAGTCGAGAAAAGATTGCGACGTCAAGGGTCTTGATTGCGCAATGTAGAGGGGAGGGCGTTCCGATCTTCAGCAACTTTTTTTTTGGTGCCTGTTGATTTTTAGACTTTGGAGGGGTGATTAACAATCGGAATCAGGTCGAGGGGCCGATAAGGAAAGGTACGGTCCGCTCGGGTTCAAAGGTGAGACGGGGTAATTATTAATCGTTGGCGCACGGCAGGCGGATGTCGGCTTGTGTGTGTCGAGGCCCCCAAAATCGGAGATAAAGGGCGTATGAGATGGAGTAGTAGTCTGTATCTGTAGGTATGGTACGAGGAAAAGTCGTGATATGCAGTGTATGCAGCGAGGGGGACGGTGGTAGGCGGGGATGGGTTCCAGAAGTACGCGCGAGACTCTTCTAGGATGGGACCCGCGGGTGGATGTGGATCGATGATGGTGTTTATTCTCTAGGTCTCCGTGGAGTTGTGACTTTGTATCTCGTGGAATAGGTAGTAGACGGTGGAGGGGAAAGGCTTGCGGAAAGAGGGCGGAGGACTGGGCTAGCCTTTATTTCAACAACCGGACGAGGACGGGAAATGAAAGAGAGATTTCCATGCAAGTCCGTCTCGGTGTGTGCCGACTGAATCAAGTCGTTCAAGTAGGTGTCAAGACATCCGTGGAAATCGTTCATCTTCGATCCTGCGGCAACGGCGTTTCCTGCCTCGCAACTTCCATCCGGGCACCGACCACATCCCGCCATCCACCCCTCATCCCGCCGCAAATTCGGCAGCAGCGCGACTCCGGGGGGCAGGTCAATGGCACTTGGTGGGGGTTTTACCCATCGCGTCAGCGCCCTGGAGTGATTTGTCTGCACCTTCCGGAGGCTTCCGTAGGACCGCAGCAATCGCGACGGCCTATGAGAGGCCGTTGTCGGCATGAATCGCTCATCCAATGTCTCTGTTTTATTCAATCCCATCACCACACCATTACCGGCATTCAAAGACTTCAATCTCGAGTCGCACAAAGCCGGCAGCAATGAAAGACCGAGCTTTGTTCCGTTTGGCACGGCAGTCCAGGTAGCGTACACACATGGACATTGTCTGCTGAAAGATAGATGTACCTTGACCAACTCGGACGAGATACCGAGCTTTTCCAGCCAAAGTAGACGGAGCTTTTGCAGCGGCCCTTCCACTGTCTAATCCCACTCACAGCGCTTCGCTATCTGTCCATCTTACGTAAGCTGGAAGCTCCCAGGACAGGGCGTCACCTCAAGCTTTCCAAGCCCGCCGTCACCAGGTGTCGCCTGCTAGGTACCTAGGTACTGCCTGAGGATACTGCAGCCTCAAGCTCAAGGTACACCTGCGGCCAAACTCGACACCTTGCGCCCATCAGCCTGACGTGACCAAGGGGTATCGTCACACCCAACAGACCGCATATCGTCGCCAACCGCAATCCAGCGCTCGGTTTGATGTGCTCGACCACTACAGCACTGGACACTTTATACGACGTCAACTCAAGGTCCACAACGCTCTTTTCAATTCAATCCCCATCTTCTTCTCCGTCCACCTTGTGGTGGTGATGTGAAGGCATCATCATGGCTATCCAGTACGTGATGACCCCTCGGCCGCATCTGATAGTGCATCAAGGCAAGAAGACTAATTCAATCTAGATACCTCATCCTCCTCTCGCGCCAGGGCAAAGTGGTACGCACCCATCGCTACCCGAAATCCCCTCGAACATCCCTTTGCTGATCACGATCCCTCCACAGCGCCTCGCAAAATGGTTCACCACCCTCTCGCCCAAGGAAAAGGCCAAGATCGTCAAGGACGTTTCTCAGCTGGTCCTCGCCCGTAGAACCCGCATGTGCAACTTCCTCGAGTATAAGGGTCAGTCGCCTTCGAAACTTGGCCACTTCGCCCGTCGACAGTCACTGACTTGTTCCCGCCAGATTCCAAGATCGTTTACCGCAGATATGCGTCGCTATTCTTCATCGCAGGAGCGGCGTCAGAAGATAACGAACTTATTACCCTCGAGATCATCCATCGCTACGTCGAGCAGATGGACAAGTACTATGGCAACGTCTGCGAGCTAGATATCATCTTCTCCTTTACGAAAGCCTACTACATCTTGGACGAGCTATTATTGGCGGGAGAACTACAAGAAAGCAGTAAAAAGAATGTGCTGCGGTGTATATCCCAGCAGGATTCGCTCGAGGACATGGAGGTACGTTGAGTCGATGCTTTACTGTTTACTTGTAGTCTCTGCCTTCAAGACGACGAACTGCAGCTGCGCCATTGGCGAAGTCTTGCGCTGACGATTCTCCTACTCCCCATCAGGTCGAGGACGAGGTTACAAAGATCATGTAACCCTCCTCCAGTGTGTACCTATTTGCTAGATTGAGACGCGAAGCCCGGGATAAATCGAGCCTCGAAGCCAATCTACGACATCTATACAAGTGTTGCACGAGCCGCGAGGAGGGCATGCCATTTATGAGTCTGTTGGCTAATGGGCGCTCTCGCCGCGTATGCAGGAAACGGAAGAGATTACATCGTCTCTCAAAGAGGTTGGCATCCTTTGACGACCCGTCATGGCTTTCGGATACACTGCAGGCCGGATATCAGAAGGCCGATACGCGACAACGAGGGAACGATGCGCCGATGCTGTTATGGACGGGAATGACCCCCGGGTGGCCCTTTGTGTGCATAGATCTTTGAGGGCGGAAAACCGTCCTCTACTACATCAAGAGAAGAACATGAGATAGCGTTGCTTGTTGCTTGGTTGTATCCACAACGTTTGTCCAGTCTTGAGTTTTCCCCCAGAAACGACGCATGAGCTGGGCACGGGGCCAAGAGCGACGACGACAATGGAGCATCACTGCATTCCACGGAAAATACGTAACAATTGACAAATAGACGAGCATTCCGATACGCAACCAAACGCCAGTCTTCATTGCCCAGAGACAGTATGAAGTCATATTGCGAGACGGGCTTGGAGTAGCCGCTCGTGGCCTCTTGACGCCCTTTCATTCGCTTGGACATTACCGGCTGCGCCCCGCCTCCCTATACGCGGCGGATTGGACAGAGTTGCTGGGTGGGTTTCCGAAGGCCGCGAAGGGGGCCCTTCCCCCAACAAGCAGGGAACAGACAGGGACTGGACCCTCGACTTCCCAGCTGGTGTCTCCCCCACACCCGCGAATCCGGTGTCAAGAACGAAGCAGGCGGTCACAATGCGATACGGCAGTCCAGCACCAGAAAGCGGACATGCTGGAACAGCGCAAGATATGCTTTGTCACAGACTCCCCGTCGGCTCCACCCACTATCTGTTCCTATCTTGGAACTGGCCCACCACCTAACACTGCCTTACCTCACGGCAGCTACCCATCCACCCTGCTGCACCAGGGCGGGGGCCTTGTCAGCGGGTACGGGGAACAACGGAGACGTGAGCCAGGACCCAGCAAGCAGCAGTAGTAGTAACAGCAATAGCAGCAACCGACAGCGGCCAGCACACCACGGACCACGCAGCCAGAGAGATGAGTGGCAGACCACCACACACCCAGGAAGGCGTCACCTCTCACACCGGCGAGTCCTCGCACCTGCCGAGAGCTGCGACAGCACCGGGTGCCCAGCTCACGTCCCGCTCACTCCCGCTTCGTCAGGTCGTCTTAAACTCCCGTCCTTCGTCACCCCATCCCTCCCTTCCCTTTTTACCCCTCTGCTTCGACCACCCTACCATCGTTCAACTTCCCACACATACACCTCACTACAACGTTCGTCTTTTAGTAATGTCTGTCGACCAGATCACCTACTAGGCGCAACGCGTCTAGTCTCCGTTCATCCATCAGAACCAAATTGATCTACACGGTCAAGTCGATCCTTCCTTGCCTTATCTAAAGCAGGCAGGCTCCGGCTTCCATCGATACACAGACAACAATCTTCACACCGATTCATCATCATTCACTGCGACGCATCGCATGCGATTTATCCCGTCGACTTCGCTTTTACTTGACCATACCCTCGACTCCGAGTCACCGCTATTCCGATACCCGCAGACACCCCTATTTCGGTCCGGCGCGACTTCCAACTCCTGTGACATCATTTAGTCACGTTAACCTCCGGAATCCAACGGCTCCATCACAACAACTTGATTACGGCGCGACCCCGGCGATAAGCTCCCTGCATCGCCAGAACAATAGTTGAAGCGCTCGCGATCTACACATCAGTTGCGCGCCACTACAGAATATATCCCGACCAACATCCATCCCATCTCGGTCTCCCAGGCCGAACCTCAATCATCCAAGATGAAGGTGCGCATAACTTGCTGCAGCAGGCATGCTCCTTTGCAGCAGTCCATGACACCTGCTAACCCAGCTCGCAGTATCTCCCACTGCAAGATTTCGACGCCGTCACTGGCGCTCTAAACTTCAACACACCGGATTGCAACGTGACTGGCGGATGCGACCTCTATACGACCAAATCCACAGGTTCCGATAAGAAGCTTTACAAGAACATCGACAAAGACCTTAGTTCACAACATGCCGCGCTCCTCAAATTGGGCGCAAGCCTTTCACCGCCAGACCGCGAAGCCATGCTGGCAACATCTCCCAACATGCAAATGTTCTCACACTCGAGCGCGTTTGGCCCCTTATCAGAGCTCGCGAGTCGCCGGACATTTGCTTATCTGATTGCGACACTGAACGCGAGTCATCAACACTACGATTTCTCGCACGTTTTGAGGCCAGGCGACTTCAAGAAAGAAAGAAACCTGCGGAGAGTGATGGGGAATCTCGACTCAATCCTACAAAATGTCAGACCGCATGTTGAGGCACGGCCGGTCGAGCAGGCCACGTCTTCGGAGACCAAGCCGGTGTGGGGCCCACAATGCTGGTCCAAAATTGATAAGGAGATGCGCCTTAACGAATGCACAGTCTTCAGCTACAATCCGGACGTCGATCCTTTTGAGGAAGATGAGTCGGCAATCTGGGCTGCTCACTACTTCTTTTTCAACCGCGCGTTGAAGCGAGTCGCCTACCTCTACGTGCGCGTTGTCCCGGTCGTATCGTCCCAATCGCCGCGACTGCAACCGGCGCTTCCGGGTTCCGTCAAGCGGACGCGGAGTACCCAATTTGATGCACTGGCCGGCAACAAGCGCGCAAAATGCTGGCTAGGAGACCGCGACGCCGAGGTTGTGGCACCGTACGAAGATGACGAAGAACAAAGCGACGGCTTCCTCTGGAATCGGGGTGCCGATGGCGATCTGGTCCCGTTCTCTGATGACGACTACACCGAGGAGCGCTTCTACTACGACGAAGAGGACGATGATGAGAGCCTGTCTGACCGGAAGAGCCCGGTACGGCGGATGAGTGAGGACGTCGTGGCCCACATGGAGATCTAAAGAGGGCCACTCCACACTGGCGCATGACCTCTTCTCGCTACCCCGTTTCATCGCTGTGAGAGCGGATGGGTCTCTCGTTTCTCTGAGTTTATCAGCTGATGCTATCAGAGCCATGATGACGAAATGGGTCACTGATTCAACACCACTTATCGGCTCCGCACAACCGCTGAGTCACGACTACTCCTCTGCTGTGGAGTTGTCACGATTGTTTCGCAACATGGGCACACTTCAACGGCCCAGATTCAATGAGTCTACTTTTACATTATTTTTATTGACTACTTTTGCAGTTTGTTTCTCGTATTTTCTTCTCTGTGCTTTTCCTTGTCCTCGGACTTGTACGCTGGCGACTATTTTGCATGTTAGTTTTTGCACTTCTTTCCTACGGTTACGAATGGCGGCGGCGATACCCTCATGCTTTCTCGCCAGGTGGCGCTGGCTAGGAAATAGTACCAAACGGAGGGTTTAAGGGTAACATGGTGCATGCGGTTATCGGTCCTGGATGGCAGACAGGATCCGAACGGAGCGGCCGCGGGTGACAAATGGATCAAACTAGGAGTTTCTTGGTTTCGTGAGGTTCCTACAACGGTCGTGTGGCAACGACTTGTTTAGCGATAGGGACTGATGTTGGAGTTGGGCTTCGAAGGGCACATGCCAAAGGGAATGTTTTGCGATTGTTCTGGTTTACCGTAGTCTACATCGCGATGAATACGCAGTAGTAGTACGCAATGACGAAATGAGTAAAGCTCGTACACTTCTGTCTCTGGACGTAAGCCAATTTGTCTCAGTCTTTTCCTCCTTGCCTTACGTTGCCTGCCGTTTGCTGCTCCTTGACCAGGAGAGCACGCGGAGCTCAATACAGATATGGGCTCCTAGGATCCAGAGCAAAGCACGTTGAGAAACAACACGGCGATAATGCGAGCGATTGTAAATCTGTAAGTCAGACTCTTGTCCACTTTACCGCTCAACAGATGATTGTTTTGAGAATGACAAGACGAGGTAAATCATTTGTCATGTTGGAAGCTATCATGACTCCTTTGTCTAGGACTGCATAATTCCGAGGATATGCCAGGTTCACTGCGTAGTATCTTCCGTCTCCAACGGCTTCTGCGCATACACGTTGTAACTAAAGAGTCCATTAGCAACCACCATGACGAAGAAAGACAAAAAAGAAAAACTAAAAAAAAAACTCACATATCAAACATGGCATGAAAAGCCCCGAAAGCACCCGTCTTCAGCTCCCTCCTCACAGCCGCAGTCTCCACCAGGATCTCCTCCTGCGTCCGCCCCAACAGCTCCGAGAACAGCTTGAGCGAAAGCGCCTCGAGGCCGTCGATGGTGAGGATCAGGTTCATCATGCCCAGGTCCTTGTAGAACTGGTCTCTCGCCCAGGGGCCCAGGGGCGCCTTGACGCGGCGGGCGTGGACCGTCTCCGAGGGGAAGCCGCCCTGTCGCAAGAGGGAGGCGAGCGTCGGCGCCACGCCGGTGTCGCGGCCCATCCCTTTGCAGGCGCGGGCGAAGCCGGCCATCCAGCGGGCGGTGGCGGAGTCTTGGGAGAAGGTGTTGTCGTCGGAGTAGAATTGCGTGTTTACGTCTTGGAATTCGACCCAGCCTCCTGGGTTTAGGTGGCTGTTTTGTTTGTTTTGTGGTGTTAGTCGGGTCTCTCTCCGCTGCCACCTGGTTCGTACAGTACTCTAGGAAAGGGGGGGCTTTCCAACCACCCTGAGGACGAGAGGACGGGAGGATGGGAGGACGGGAAGAAAGGGACGAGGAAAGACGTACTCGAATATGTTCTTGATCAGGCCGGGCCAGTCCTTGATGGAGGCGACCATGTACCGGCACATGACGAAGTCGTATTTCCTGTTGCCGACCCACGGGCTTTCGACGTCGTCAATTTCGAATTTGACGTTTGGAGGGACCCTTTTTTTGGATCATGTTAGTAAAAGTGGGCGCTGACACTCTCTCATGATCATGAGGTCTTGATGCTGAGTACTAGGGGAGGACGGGTAAGAGGATATCATACCATTCTGGCTGGATGGGACTCAGATCAATGCCGAGAACCTGAACCTCCTCGTCAGTAAGGCTACCACGAAGTTTACCACCGAATGGTGAAAGACTTGGTCAAAGTAGACCAGGTTCTATACCTCTGCGTTCTCAAAGACGTCGCCCATTTCCACGGCCCCTAAACACGAACGTGCAAAACTCAGCAAGCAGATCTCAACGACGACCCTCGGAACGGAGAAGAGGAGAGGAGGGGTGTTCACGACATACACAGTCCGGTCCCAGTCCCGATATCGAGGATCCTCTGCACCTTTTCCTTCTTCAGCGGCGCGTTATACAGCCTGCTCCCAATCGCCTTGACCATCATCGCATGGGCCAGATCGAGCCTATCCATCTCAGACTAGAAAGGAGTCAGCCGACGGCTCTTGTTGGCTATGTGGATGACTACGGGGGTAGCTTTCTCAGTACCTCATCATTAGGGAATTTATACGCTACGCATTACACCTTCAGTCAGAATACCATGTGCAAGCGACTAAAAGTGACGGAAAAGATGGGGAAAAAAGATTAACTGACATCCTGGTCGGAAAGCATGATAGCGACGTCCGTATTCGATGGGGTAATCTACGACGCTCGAGGATAACGAGGCGGTGTAACTCGAGCTAAACCAGAGGGGAAGCTTCATTTAGTAAAGGCAAAAAGGGGTAGCCCAGTTGGAAACGAGCTACAGAAGAGGCACCAAGATGATACGCACATGCGGTCATCAGCTGTAGAAGAACCCTCTGTGAACTAAAGCCCCAATATCAGCTTTCATGTTCATTCTTATGATTGAGCGGAAACCCCAATGGTGAGCATTGTTCAGAATCAAGAGAAGAAAACGGACGTTGCCTTCATCCTCATCAGGTTCGAGAGGCGCCGGCGCCGGGCTCGGCGGGTCGTTGTCGTTGGTTACCGGAGCTGGCGCTGCCGCCGCCGCCGCCGGCACAGGAGCATCACCAGCCGGAGCCGTTCCCGGTGCGGGGTTAGCAGCAGTGGTAGCTAACGGGACGGTGGAAGAAGGCTCAGCCATGATTGTGCGATTCCCTGTTGCTACGGATGGTCGTGGCTTGTAACAACAAAAAAAGAAATGGGCTCGTTCCCGCCTATGTGCGAGTCGTCCTGGGGGCGTGAGTTCTGGACTTCTAAAGTGCCCCATAGGCGTGGCGGCGGGAGAGCACCGTTTTGTAGAGTTGTACTCCGTAGTGGGAACGAATCCCCATTAATTCGCGGAACATGGGGGGAGGCTGTGGCTTCGTACACTAGTCCATAGAAAACGCTCCGCCGCTCCGCGACATCCTTGGGTGTGTTGAGTCTTTCGTCCTGTCCGGCGTTGCAGAACTCACCGATGGAGACAGACGTCCGGTACTGGCAATTCGTCAGTGTAACCCTCCCGCAGCGGTCCAAACGGGCTCAACGAAGCTGGGGCCAATGGGATTCAATCGCTTCAGGTCACCCCCGGCCTGCCAGTCGACGAGTGCATGATTAGCACCATGTTGAAGACTATCAAGTCTGCGGACAGGGCCCACCATCCACCCCTGCCCTGGCAATCGCCAGTATCTACTGTGTAAGGGTCAATTGTCCTTTGACTTACCAAATCTCAATCCCAAGCCATGATTTAACAACATTGAGAGAAGAAATATGAGAGAAGCATGTTTTGTATTGTTGACCGCTTTTGCGTATCTAACTAAGAGTGCTTCCAGACTCGTCTTTCGCTGCCCAAGTGAACTGTCAAGAGTCCATCAAGGATCCTATTATCCAAAGAAAACGATGCCAAAGACTACCTGAGAGTCCTTGATCGAGACCGCTCAAGAAATGAACAAAATCCTATCCCATCTTTGGGAAGAGTGGTATCAAAACATGGAGCGCGAGGCACGAGTGTGTAGAAACAAAAAGGTAGAACCAAACAGAGCAACCCGGGCTCGGCCGTGTGCCGTATTTCCCCTCGGTACAACCATGACCAGGTGACAGATTTCTTGCGTGACAATAAGACGAACAGACGCTATATGGTTGTTTTAATTTTCTCCATACTTGATAGAGAGGTCGTGATCTTCATTCAGGTCGTGGCTTCGCGCCGGTGCGGCTTGGGCAACTAAGCCAAGTTCGACTTCTTCCGGCGACCAAACATTTTGGAAAAGCTGCTACCGCTGCTTTGTTGCTGAGGCTCTCCGGTAGCGGCACGGGCCGCAGGCGTCATCTGTGGCGGCTCGGAGCTGCGAAGGAATGAGGCCAGGTCGTTGGTGCGGCTCGTGGACGAAACGGCCTCCCTTGGCTCAAACTTCTTCATCGGCACGCGTCCCGAGGAATGCATGGCTCCACGGCTGGCAGTAGCGTCAGAAGCCCCGTACTTGTCCTGACCAGGAGCGTTGACTTGAATTGGAACGTGACCATGTGCACCTCCAGCGCGGCTGTTCAAGGACCGACTGTCAACCTTGGCTGGTTTTGCGCTGTTGGATCCCGCACTGCTGTCCTTCCTGGAGAAGCGTCCAATAAGACTAGGAGCGCTCGCCTTCCTCTTGGGAACGTTGTGAGGGGCGGCAGCGGGTTCGGGCGGCGGCGAGTAGTTCTTCAAAAAGTCGGCCAGGCTCTCTTCCTTCTTTGGCGGAGGCCGGACAGCTTGCGCGTAATCCTCCTCATCTTCATCGCTAAGGTCGATGGCGTACGGATCGCGCACGCGACGTCTCGTGCGCTTGGGCATCATTTCGTCGTCATCAAAGCCGTTGCCACTGGGACGATTCTTGAGAAGAGCGCTCTGGGAGTTGATCGACGACTGTACAGAGGGCTGGGTGATATCCGTCACGTTGGTCGACGCTTGACTGTATCGAATGTCTGGCAAGCTGGCATCAACAGCTTTGCCACCCACAGCACCCGACATCTGGTCAGAATCCATCGTTGTCCGGAATGGAGCCACTGTTCGAGGAATACGGGGATTGCTCGAGCTAGGCGGTCCTCGTCGGATGAAATCGATT